ATAAAATATATATTTTTGCTAATTATTGAGCTATAGAAAATTTGTTTAGACTTTATCGCACCATTTCAAACCATTTTAGTCATTTCGAGCAGAAGCTTTTTCCTTGAGCTTAAAGTATTTATGGGATTCATGTAGATTTATCCATTGGACAAGTTCTCATCTTTTCTATAAAATATTTTTTTTTCTAATTGTTAAGCTATAGAATTTGCTTAGACTTGATCATTCCATTTCAAACCATTTCTAATAATATTCCTCACCTTGTGACATTTAAAAACCATCTAAAACGTCATTTATTTGCTTTCCAAGTATCTTCCTAAGAACTTTTTCTTCTCCCTCTTCTTCCTTTTCTTCTTCTCTTCACTTCTTTTATTCCAGCAACTATCATTATGCACCGTTTTTAGTGAAAATAAGTTTAGCATAGCAGCTTTCCATTTATTTATTGTTTTTCTTATATAACTTAGTATACTGCTGATTGATTGGGTTGTTTGGAAGATATCGCTTTCGTGATAAATCGACCCTTTGCTCGTATTTATGCATTAAGTTAAATGTATACATTTTCTTTAATTTATATTTTTTGTTTCTTATTATGGCAATCAATTTATTTATTATTATTATTATTTCTGTCATTTCGAGCAGAAACTTTTTCCTCTAACAGGACTGCTACATCCATTGTTGTGACAACTTGCCCGCAACTACGTCACACCATTTTCCATGCCCACCAGTTGTTATGGTATATTTATATTATTTTTGAAGTTTTATGTTTTTAGACATATTAATGTCTATCATATAACCTCTAAAAACACAGAGTTACCAGGCGTGGCAAATAGCGTGACGTAGAGGTACTACAAGTAGTGGACTACAAAAATACAATGGATGTAGCAGTCCTGTAGTTCCATGTAGATTTATCCATTGGACAAATTCTCATCTTTTCTATAAAATATATATTTTTGCTAATTGTTGGGTTATAGAAGATTTGTTTAGACTTGATCGCACCATTTCTGTCATCTCGAGTAGAAACTTTTTCCTTGAGCTGAATAGATTTATAGGTTCCATGTAGATTTATCCAGAGAGAAATAAATCTTTATTACAGCTATCGACCTAATGGTCTTTCCGCTGGCTATAATTACAACAAAGAATTTAACAATATTATTATTAATTATCAGATAAATATTTATGAAAAAATTCGAATATTGTCTTCCTCTAATTAACTTCCATCTGTGCAGCTTGTCTCTTTAAACATAATTTATGTATTTTTTCATAATTGTTTCTGTTAAATTATTATTAAACAAGTTCTCATCTTTTCTATAAAATATATACAGGGTGTATCAGATATGAGTAAAAGAAATTTGAGGGGTTATAGGTCTCCTCTTTCTGAATAAAAAATTTTTATAACACAATGTCCCATTCTTTGCCATTTTTAAGATATGATTCGATAAAGTTGAGCTTTTGAAAGTTTAAATATGCTGTATAAAGAATTATATTAAACAGGCTTTGTTTATGTAATATAGCTTTAATTTGACACATAAAATTCATTTTTGAGATATTTTAATGTTTAATGTGACTTTAATGTGACAATTTACAAAAATTTAGGTTTTAATAAATAAACTTGCTTATTGTAGCAAAAACAACAAAATTACAAAACTAGAAACAAATTGCAAATTAAAGCCTGCTTAGTATAATTTATTAACCAGTAGTACTCAAACTTGTGAACCCTTAACTTTATCGTATCATATCTTAAGAAGGACAAAGAATGGGACATTGTGTTATAAGAATTTTTTATTTATATAACCCCTCAAATTTTTTTTACACATATCTGATACACCCTGTATTTTTGCTAATTCTTGAGCTGTTGAAGATTTGTTTAGACTTGATCGTACCATTTCTGTCATCTCGAGCAGAAACTTTTTCCTTGAGCTTAATGGATTATAGGTTCCATGTAGATTTATCCATTAAACAAGTTCTCATCTTTTCTATAAAATATATATTTTTGCTAATTGTTGAGCTATACAAGATTTGTTTAGACTTGATCGCACCATTTCTGTCATTTCTAGCAGAAACTTTTTCCTTGAGGATTTATATGTTCCATGTAGATTTATCCATTAAACAAATTCTCATCTTTTCTATAAAATATATATTTTTGCTAATTGTTGAGCTATACAAGATTTGTTTAGACTTGATCGCACCATTTCTGTCATCTCGAGCAGAAACTTTTTCCTTGAGGATTTATATGTTCCATGTAGATTTATCCATTAAACAAGTTCTCATCTTTTCTATAAAATATATACAGGGTGTATCAGATATGAGTAAAAGAAATTTGAGGGGTTATAGGTCTCCTCTTTCTGAATAAAAAATTTTTATAACACAATGTCCCATTCTTTGCCATTTTTAAGATATGATTCGATAAAGTTGAGCTTTTGAAAGTTTAAATATGCTGTATAAAGAATTATATTAAACAGGCTTTGTTTATGTAATATAGCTTTAATTTGACACATAAAATTCATTTTTGAGATATTTTAATGTTTAATGTGACTTTAATGTGACAATTTACAAAAATTTAGGTTTTAATAAATAAACTTGCTTATTGTAGCAAAAACAACAAAATTACAAAACTAGAAACAAATTGCAAATTAAAGCCTGCTTAGTATAATTTATTAACCAGTAGTACTCAAACTTGTGAACCCTTAACTTTATCGTATCATATCTTAAGAAGGACAAAGAATGGGACATTGTGTTATAAGAATTTTTTATTCAGAAAGATACACCCTGTATTTTTGCTAATTGTTGAGCTATAGAGGATTTGTTTAGACTTGATCGTATCATTTGTGTCATCTTGAGCAGAAACTTTTTCCTTGAGCTTAAAAGATTTATAAGCTCCATGGAGATTTATCCTTTTGATAAGTTCTCATCTTTTCTATAAAATATATATTTTTGTTAATTGTTGAGTTATACAAGATTTGTTTAGACTTGATCGCACCATTTCTGTCATCTCGAGCAGAAACTTTTTCCTTGAGGATTTATATGTTCCATGTAGATTTATCCATTAAACAAGTTCTCATCTTTTCTATAAAATATATACAGGGTGCCCATTATGTATGGAATATTGTATATATCTTGGCAAGTATCAACTTTATAAAAATACATTTTATACAAAAGTTGGTTAGTATTTTATTTGCCATAATAAGACACCATTCAATTGTTTTTATTTCAGAAAACAAATGAGCAACGAATAACATTTAATTTTTTTTAAATGGCAATGTACCCTTTTATTAGGCTTATTTGATAGAGATTTCTTTTCTCTTTATGATGACGTAAAATTTTTGTACCCTTACATCAGAAAATTTTTGCATAAAATGTAAAAATTGTTTATTAAGAAAATTTAACCAATAACATTAATCTAGATATCCGAGATCGTCAACTACCTCGAATTATTACCGTAAATTAAATCTACATACAAAATAAAACAAATAAACTAAAAATTAGTGTAAATGAAAATTATTAAACTTTGAAGACAAAACGAAATTAGCACTAAAATGGTTTTCACGACAATAAATGTTCAAAATGTTCACCATTAACTGCAAGGCAGTGGCCCAATCTATCATAAAAGGCTTGAAAAGAATTTCTTAGCGATCTGGGAGAAATAGCTGCAGCTTCATCTTTTATTCGTTGCTCTAATTCTGTCAGATTTTGAGGTCGGTTTACATAAACTTTAGATTTTAAATATCCCCAGAAGAAGAAATCGCAAGGTGTAAGATCCGGAGATCGGGGTGGCCACTCTACAGACCCTCTTCTGCCTATCCAACGGGCCGGAAATACCGTATCTAAATATCGGCGTACATCTAAATGATAGTGGGGCGGTGCCCCATCTTGTTGAAACCAAAGATCATCAAGATTTTCTTGGCAAGCTGGGATAATTTGCTGTTGCAATAATTGTAAATAACGGTGACCAGTTAGAGTACCTCGAATAAAGAAAGGTCCAATTATGTGATCTGCACAAATTCCCACCCATACGTTTAATTTCTGTGGTGTTTGAGTATGATTTTGAATCATCCAATGGGGATTTTTAGCGGCCGAATATCGAGAATTTTGCTTATTTACATTACCATTTAAACAAAACGTAGCCTCGTCAGAGAAAACCATATTATTGAGAAAATTTGGATTGCTGTTGATTCGCTCCATCATAAATTCACAAAATTCAACACGTCGACCGTAGTCATCTTCGGATAATTCTTGCAATAAAGTCGGTTTGTACGGATGTAAATTTTCTGCATGTAATATTTTGTGTATTGAACCTTTACTTAGAGCATGGTTTAAACATAACTGACGAGTTGAAATATTTGGATTTTCTTCGATTTCTATGAGAATATCNTTCTATAAAATATATATTTTTGCTAATTGTTGAGCTATACAAGATTTGTTTAGACTTGATCGCACCATTTCTGTCATCTCTAGCAGAAACTTTTTCCTTGAGGATTTATATGTTCCATGTAGATTTATCCATTAAACAAATTCTCATCTTTTCTATAAAATATATATTTTTGCTAATTGTTGAGCTATACAAGATTTGTTTAGACTTGATCGCACCATTTCTGTCATCTCGAGCAGAAACTTTTTCCTTGAGGATTTATATGTTCCATGTAGATTTATCCATTAAACAAATTCTCATCTTTTCTATAAAATATATATTTTTGTTAATTGTTGAGCTATACAAGATTTGTTTAGACTTGATCGCACCATTCTCGAGCAGAAACTTTTTGCTTGAGCTTTCTCAATCTGGTTTTCATCAATTTTTGAATATGACCAAGACATCCAAGCTTTCTTATGTCTAAATCTTGCGACCATATGCTGATGGTCAGAAATGTTATATGTCAAATGTCTTGATTAATCTGAGTTAACTCATCCAATAGATAAATAAAATAAGTTTTGTTAATTTTTATTAAGTTTATTTAATTTTGAGTATTAATTAAACATAACAAAATGATTTCAAACAACAACATACGTTTTTGTATCCGAAAACGGAAGTCCCCCTCTTTCAATATAGTAAACCGATGGATCTGCCAGGGGGGGTTTCTGTGTATATGGATAGAGTGAGGTAGGGGGAGGTGTGCGTGCGCCCGACCGCAGCCGCCTCCGTTTTGAAACGCTGACAGCCGCGGACGGCGGCGTCCGCTTTTACGGCCCCCTTTCGACCAATGGCGTGTCGTCGGGCCGTGTGCGAACCGAACCGTTCGTTCGTCGTCTAACGACGGACGGACACACACCAAACGAGAGAGACTCTATAGAGGCCGCTTCACGCGAACAGACAGACACACTACGAGAAACTTTAAACGCACACACGTACACTAAACACGCGTTTAACGCGACACAGAGACCTCTACAACCCAAGTTTAAGTCAGTTTTAATCATTTTAAAATTTCATTTTTTGACATACGCAATAGAAACGTCAAATGAGACAGTTGAAGACGCGTCGACAATCGCGAGCGCGAATTAAATGAAACGCGACCAACGAACGTCACTGACTACTGTATATAACAACAATATAACCGATCGAGTGAGTGTTTGAAAAAAAAGCAAAAGCAACAAATGAAGGCCGTTTTAAGTGTGCGCTTTTGTTTGAGTTCCGATGGTATTCTGATTATTGTAATACGACGACGACGTGAATTTGTTGTTTGTTTTCGTTTGTTACGCTTGTTATGTGGTGTTGTTGGTTAATCGTGATTAAAGACGACTTCGGAAACTGTTTCGTTGTATTATTATTTATCGTGTTACAAGATAACCGGGTTAATAAGGTAAGATTAAAGATAAAAAAATATATTAAAAAAAAAGTCAAACGAAATTCCTCCACGACTGCTTCGATTTGTTTACGTAAACATTGAACTATTTTTAACTTCAACCGGGGTTTAAGATTGACACTGAGCGATCACTTTTATATAGAGACTTTACTACAACTAACTGCTCTACTCTACCACTTTTCTACCACTTCAATTTTATTCGTAACATTAGGCGAGTTCATCATCTTTAAGAACGAAAAGTTTACAATAAAAATGTTCTTTGAAATGATTAAAATGTTCCCGGTTCGAAAGCGTGTAAAAAGTTCGTCGAGTAGCGTGACGAATTCGCTCGACCCCTGCATGAATATTTAACTCGCTCATTTATTACGTTTAAACTCGTTGACGGAGCGACCCGGGTCGACTCTTTTCACCACACCACGATGCTTGCAGATGATGATGCCTCTTAAGTCTTAAAAACTTAAAATCAACTTCCTTTTTATTCGCTATATTAATTATAAAAGGAACTTGGAAAAGTTATTTTAATTGAAAACAACGTAAATTATAACTTATTACAAGTTCATAGAAAATTTCGAAACGCCTTCAACGCGATGTGTAAAATGTTAAATATCTATTAAGAATTTATTATTTATACCAATAATGAAATAATTAAATTTATTTTAACTTTTCAATTAACTATTAAAATACACCGAATGCTATTGACACCAGCGTTCAATTAATAATTTATGCATACGATTTGACGATGAATTATTCAACGCGTTTTCAAACAGTTATTCATAAAAAAATTATCCATGTTTATTCATACATTTCATTGATTTTCGTTTTTTCAAAATAATAACAAATCGATTTAGATTTTTATTTGTTTTATCTAAAATAATAATAATAATAATAAAACAAAACGGCCGTTGTTTCGTTTCATTCAGTTCGGTTAACACTCGACGGGTTTTTAATCAAGATCCACGTGATCCTCTCGCTTAAATATATTGGCTACATGCAATCTACGGTACGTTACAAGGGGGCCCTGTTTACATTATGTCAACCCGTGTAGCGATACCACTGAAAGTCGAGCTGCTGTGACATTGCGTTTAATCACACCCCGTACATTTGTTACAGTTTTAAATTTAACGCCGTGTTGAAAGATTCTAAGTGTTATTGTTTGTTTTCAAATTGTTTTTGAAATTAATTGTTGGATTAAGAAAACGACCCAACCTTGTTCTACAAATAAGTATCATATTAATGCTTCAAAAACTGTTTGTAACCAAATTTGGTTTAAATATCTACATGACGAATTTTCAAGGTTAACTTTAAGAATTTATTTCTCATAAACTAATAAAGATATCAAAAAACGGTTTTTATCATTAAAATCGTTGAAGAATTCTAACCAAGTGTGCCTAATTTTATTTCTTCAGTTTAAAAATCAACATAAAAATGATAGAAATAAATAATTGTATCAATTCGAAATTGATGAAATTTCAAGGTTAACTTTAAGAAGTTATTTCTTATAAACTAAAAGAGACATCAAAAAGCCGTTTATATATTTAAAATCATTGAAGAATTTTGAACAAGTGTGCCTAATTTGGTTTCTTTAATTAAAAAATCACCGGAAAAAACGATATAGATATGAATTATAGAATTGTATCAATATTTTCGAGGTTAACTTTAAGATTATATTTCTCATAAACTAACAGAGATATCAAAAAATTGTTGATGTCTTTATAATCATTAAAAAATTCTGAACAAGTGTGCCTTATTTGGTTTCTTCAATTTAAAAATTAACACAAAGAATATATAGATATGAAGAATTGTATCAATTCGAAATCGACGAATTTTCGAGGTTAACTTTAAATATTTATTTCTCATCAACTAATAAAGATATCAAAAAACGGTTTTTATCATTAAAATCGTTGAAGAATTCTAAACAAGTGTGCTTAATTTTATTTCTTCAATTTAAAAATCAACATAAAAATGATAGAAATAAAGAATTGTATCAATTCGAAATTGACGAAATTTCAAGGTTAACTTTAAGTAGTTATTTCTTATAAACTAAAAGAGACATCAAAAAGCCGTTTATATATTTAAAATCATTGAAGAATTTTGAACAAGTGTGCCTTATTTGGTTTCTTCAATTTAAAAATTAATACAAAAAATATATAGATATGAAGAATTATATCAATTCGAAATCGACGAATTTTCGAGGTTAACTTTAAGAATTTATCTCTCATAAACTAATAGAGATATCAAAAAATCGTTTATATCATTAAAATCATCGAAGAATTCTGAACAAGTCTACCTAATTTTGTTTCTTCAATTTGAAAATCAACAGAAAAATGATAGAAATAAACAACTGTATCAATTCGAAATTGACGAATTTTCGAGGTTAACTTTAAGAATTTATTTGTCATAAACTAATAGAGATATCAAAAAATCGTTTGTATCATTAAAATCATCGAAAAATTCTGAACAAGTCTACCTAATTTTGTTTCTTCAATTTGAAAATTAACAGAAAAAATATGTAGATATAAAGAATTGTATCAATTCAGAATTAATGAATTTTCAAACTTTAAAAATGTATTTCTCATAAACTAATAGAGATATCACAAAACTGTTTATAGTTTTAAAATCGTTGAAGAATTCTGAACAAGTGTGCCTAATTTTGTTTCTTCAATTTAAAAATCAACAGAAAAATGATAGAAATAAACAACTGTATCAATTCGAAATTGACGAATTTTCGAGGTTAACTTTAATAATTTATTTCTCATAAACTAATAGAGATATCAAAAAATCGTTTATATCATTAAAATCATCGAAGAATTCTGAACAAGTCTATCTAGTTTTGTTTCTTCAATTTCAAAATTAACAGAAAAAATATGTAGATATGAAGAATTGTATCAATTCAAAATTGATGAATTTTCAAACTTTAAAAATGTATTTCTCATAAACTAATAGAGATATCAAGAAACTGTTTATACTTTTAAAATCGTTGAAGAATTCTGAACAAGTGTGCCTAATTTGGTTTCTTCAATTTAAAAATTAACAGAAAAATGATAGAAATAATGAACTGTATCAATTCGAAATCGACGAATTTTCGAGGTTAACTTTAAGAATTTATTTCTCGTAAACTAATAGAGATATCAAAAAACCGATTATATCTTTAAAATCGTTGAGGAATTCTGAAAAAGATTGCCTAATTTGGTTTCTTCAATTTAAAAATTAACAGAAAAATGATAGAAATAAAGAATTGTATCAATTCGAAATCAACGAATTTTCGAGGTTAACTTTAAGAATTTATTTCTCATAAACTAATAGAGATATCATAAAATCGTTTATATCTTTAAAATCATTGAAGAATTCTGAACAAGTGTGCCTAATTTGGTTTCTTCAATTTAAAAATTAGCAGAAAAATATATAGATATGAAGAATTGTATCGATTGGAAATTGACGAATTTTCAAGGTTAGGTTTAAAATTTCTTTCTCATAAACTAATAGAGATATCAAAAAACCGATTATATCTTTAAAATCGTTGAGGAATTCTCAACAAGTGTGCCTAATTTGGTTTCTTCAATTTAAAAATTAACAGAAACATAATAATATATAGTTATGAAGAATTGTATCAATTCGGATTTTCAAGGTTTAAAATTTAACCTTGTATTTTGTTGGTATTTTTAAGAATTTATTCCTCATAAACTAATAGAGATATCAAAAAACTGTTTATACTTTTAAAATCATTGAAGAATTCTGAACAAGTGTGCCTAATTTGGTTTCTTCAATTTAAAAATCAACAGAAAAATGATAGAAATAAAGAACTGTATCAATTCGAAATCGACGAATTTTCGAGGTTAACTTTAAGAATTTATTTCTCATAAACTAATAGAGATATCAAAAAACTGTTTATATCATTAAAATCATTGAAGAATTCTGAACAAATCTACCTAATTTTGTTTCTTCAATTTAAAAATTAACACAAAAATATGTAGATATGAAGAATTGTATCAATTCGAAATTAACGAATTTTCAAGGTTAACGTTAAGAATTTATTTCTCATAAACTAATAGAGATATCAAAAAACTGTTTATACTTTTAAAATCGTTGAAGAATTCTGAACAAATGTGCCTGATTTTATTTCTTCAATTTGAAAATCAACATAAAAAAATAGAAATAAACAATTGTATCAATTCAAAATTGATGCATTTACAAACTTTAAAAATGTATTTCTCATAAACTAATAGAGATATCAAAAAACTATTTATACTTTTAAAATCGTTGAAGAATTCTGAACAAGTGTACCTAATTTGGTTTCTTCAATTTAAAAATCAACAGAAAAATGATAGAAATAAAGAATTGTATCAATTCGAAATTGACGAATTTTCAAGGTTCACTTTAAACATTTATTTCTCATCAACTAATAGAGATATCAAAAAACCGTTTATATCATTAAAATCACCGAAGAATTCTGAACAAATGTACCTAATTTGCTTTCTTCAATTTAAAAATTTGCAGAAAAATATGTAGATATGAAGAATTGTATCAATTCGAAATTAACGAATTTTCAAGGTTAACGTTAAGAATTTATTTCTCATAAACTAATAGAGATATCAAAAAACTATTTATACTTTTAAAATCGTTGAAGAATTCTGAACAAGTATGGCTAATTTGGTTTCTTCAATTTAAAAATTAGCAGAGAAATATATAGATATGAAGAATTGTATCAATTCGAAATTGACGAATTTTCAAGGTTAGGTTTAAGAATTTATTTCTCATAAACTAATAGAGATATCAAAAAACCGTTTATATCATTAAAATCGTTGAGGAATTCTGAAAAAGTGTGCCTAATTTGGTTTCTTCAATTTAAAAATCAACAAAGAAATGATAGAAATAAAGAATTGTATCATTTCGAAATTGACGAATTTTCAAGGTTCACTTTAAACATTCATTTCTCATCAACTAATAGAGATATCAAAAAGCCGTTTATATCATTAAAATCACTGAAGAATTTTGAACAA